GTGATTTTCTGGATTTTCTTCCCCCCCATTTTGTCTCTCATCGTTGTGGTATACCCTTGATGAAAATTACAGGCCTCTCTCACCTTTTTTTGTGGGAGAACTTGCACAATTGGTGGCTGACTAAATACTTTTTTGCCCCACTGTAAATGAGGCAGAAGGAAACAGCCACCTCTTGGCAGGATCAAAGCCTGCAGTCCAGCACCAAATGTCACTGTCACTGGGGCCAGGGAATGGAGGAATCCAATATATAGGTCACTGGCTAATAGCAGCCAGCAGATTTTTTTCAGATCAAATGTTTGGAACTGTATACTTGAAATTTAGAATTTGAACATCGTTATTTTTAAAAAATCTTCAACTAGAGCCATTCATAATTCATCATGATGGGCAGTTCCTTAGCAGGTAGCAGTAAGAGCATGGATCAAAACAACCACTATAGGAATACAAATAACCTGTTCTACAGTTACAGTTTTAGACATAGGCACATGTCCATTCATTTTTATGATGATTAAGTAATCAGAACCACCCTTTCTTGCATGAACTTCACTCAATGTGAAGTAATTTTTCAAGGTAGCATGTTTAGCTGCACACTAACATAATACTTTACTAACTCCAAACTGACTTTTTCCCATATTTGACTTAAATCTTCAGCTACTAGGAGTGCTCCAGGTTACCAGGATTCACAAACTATTTCAGAGTAGGCATATTTTTCTCCATAAAAGTTTGACCATATTAAATGCACTATGTCATAGTTTATGGTAAGCATGGGCATCTGTTACAAGACATGATGATGTCTAAATGAAAATGCATACAGGTAGTCCTTGGTTAACGACACTTGGGACTGGAATTTCCATCACTAAGCAACGTTATCATAAAGAACAACATCATGTAACTGCACTACTTAGCAATAGCAGTTCTGGCACTTCTGGTTGCCATTTTGAATCCCTTGTCATCATTAACTGAGGATGTCACATGGTTGCCATTTGTGGCCTCCTGCTGGCTTCCCCATTGACTTTGCTTGTAGGGAGCCAGCAAAAAGGTCGCAAATGGCAGCCCCATGACCATGGGACATTGTGAACTTCAAGGACCGGTCATAAGTACTACTTGTTTAGCCCCATCGTAAGTTCAAATGGTCACTGAACGAGTGGTTGTTAAATGAGGACCACCTGTACTGTATATACTCACAGATAAGCTGAGAATTTTAGGTGCCAAAATAGACCCCAAAATTGGGTTCAGCTTATCTGCAGATGGGCTTATCCTCAAGTACATATGGTAATAGCTTTCTAAAGTACCTGTATATTCCATATATACTCACGTGTAAACCCATCCGTGGCTAAGCAGACACTCAAATTTTTAACCAAAATACCTTGAAAAATGCAGTCAGCTTATCTACGGGTGGCATGTTTTTCATGGTATTTTGTTTTAAAAATTGGGGGTCAGCTTATCCACTGATGGGTTTATACATGAGCATATATGGTACATCATGATGTTATCACACAAATAATGCAATTATATGCTTGCATAATGAAGCTGGATGCAAGAATGCAAGTTGCAACCTTTACACTGATGTCACAATACACATGTCATCTTTGTCCTACGTGACCACTACATGGATACCAGTAGATGTGCAGGTGCTCCTCTCTGCCACATTAAGTCCATGGTGATAACAGTCCATTTCTTGGGGTAATTTGCAGAATAATAAATGCAAACACAAAATCACTGAATAACAACTGGAATTTATAGTGAACAGTAATGCTATGAAGCTCAATATAGTTTTGCAGTATCTGGTTTTTGTTTTCTCAGTCTCATAGGAAAGTTTACTGAGCTCCCTAAGGATGTAGCCAAAGGATTGCATTTAATGTTAAGGCACTCAGTTGTTGCCAGTGCCTGTATAATGAATATCTGAATCTCTTAAAGGTCATAAAATCAGTGGTCTTTCTAATATTAATTTTTTTTTTAGAATAGTTGACTCAGCAGCACAGAGGCTATTTTCAGAGCTATCATGACGACCACAATGCATTTTCCACTCTTCATACGTTCTTTCCTGACATCAGCTGCTGCTCATAAGAAAGCAAAATGTAATAAGAACGTATAGGAATGAAAAAGACAAAAAGAATGTATTAAGTATTAATTTTCTGGTTTTTATAATTGTTTCTCTCTCTCCCTCCCTCCCTCCTTTTCTCTCCCTTCTTCCCCTTAGTGGCCGTACTCAGAAGCAGGTCCTTGACTATGTTAAAGAAGGAGGACATAAAAAAGTGCAATTTGAGAGGTTTGAGATACTTGATGATGATGATGATGATGATATCTTTTACATTTAAGGTCTTTCTCTTGTGTCAGGAATGCTGATTTTTTTTAGTTGGCCATAAGATAGCTGCAGGCAATCGGGATTGAACTTAGTTGCACCTCTGCTGAAAGAAAAGGAAAAACAAGCATTGCATATTTTTCCCCATCCAGGGGCCTATAGCTTTTTGCTTTTCTAGCAAAGTACCACGGTGCTGTTTTGACTCTGGGAGCATTTGTTTAGTGACTAATTAATTGTATTGCTCTTTGTCCCCTTTGAGTAAATAGTTCCAACTTGCCAACTCCTGCACGTTAACTTTTTATTAGATTCACCCTTTCTGAAACTCATAGCCAGCACAGTATTTCTGCTGGGAGACCTCTGACTTGACTGGCAGAAAATTAAGCTAAGAGCAGAAGAGGTTTTCTGCCAAAAGAAGGTGATTCTGGTGACAGATGTGATTGTTTCAGAACATTTCTTTGGATTACATTGTTAATGATATATAATATTTTTTGTGCTTTTTAAAAAAGCAATTTTGACTACTAGTGGTGAAATGTTAGACAATAGAAGAGTGGATTTTGGCATGCCATTGCCAAATCTGTTTCTAAAGCCATCTGTACATGGTGAGTTCAGTGTTCTTGTTAAATCTTCTAATGATCTTAGCAACAGGTTTTATGTTCTGAGTCAGCTTTTGGAATCAGAGGTCTTCCTTTTCTCAGTGAAGTTTTTGTAATACATTGAGTGAAATATGTATCTGACAACACACTGTACACACATACACACACTGTACATATATACCCCAAAAGCAATATTTGGGGTTTTCCATAGCTATTACCAGGGTTAAGGAAATCAAGGAATTGGGTGTAAATGCTTTTAATTTTTAATTAATTTTGTTTGTTAAATTTATAGCCTGCCTTCAGGAGCTCAAGGCAACAGCTATGACAGTCCCTGCTCCAATGGTTCTTTTTCTCTCCACAGAAAACACAGCAAGATTCATTCTGTTAGGAGTCTGACTCCAAAATCTGCAGAGCAACTTTCTGAGGTGCCAAAACAAGTCAGTTATCTTTCATGCTTTTGATAACTAAAAGTCCAATATCTGTTTTGTTCTTTGTTGTGCACTGTTGTTTAAAGAGGGCAAACAAATTGCTTGAAGGAACAGTAGTCTTCCCTCTGATTTGGAATACTGCCAAATGAATGGAAAATGCAAGCAATGAGAAAGGATTTGACTTCAACAAGCTTTACCAATAAAAATACTGAAACTGTGTATCTAGTAAATTCACACAAACCTTTTGGGAGGTCTAACAGGGATGTGTGGCATTGTTTGTCAGGACAAAGAACAAGATGAGATGTAGACCCGCTCCCAAAGGAAGTTGACTGAAATCAATCTTGGAGGAATGTTTAAACAAAGGAGGTCTAAGTAATACACTTGAATCATTGTGTACAAAATAATGTAAATGCTTGGAAATGGATGTTGGGGAAAGAACAGATCAAAGAGATAATAAAAGTGTCAAGGATAAGCGAGGATGACAAATGAAAAGAAGGAGAAAGTATGTCAATCTGTTCAATAATAACAGGATGTGCCATTGCTCAGAGACTAAGTAACAGTGATGAGATGTTGTAAGTGAAACACACACTTACTTTTTACTCTCTACTTTCAGCTCTTCTCAAGTTATTGTGACTGAGGAAACCAATCTCAAGAGTCACTCACATTTTAAAACAGAACTATTTATCACTGAACTTTGTCCTCTTCCTTGAGTCCTTCCCTTCCCTTTCCTTCTTCTACCCCAACCCCCCTTCATTCCCTTCCATGCCATGCAATTTTATGGAAAAAAAAAATTTATTAAAAAAAAACAAGGCTGTTATGGTGTTACCTTTTGCTTCATGGAAGGCTTTAATCTGAACTGGGATGGGTTGAGCCATTTGCTCTACCAGTATTTTCTGTCAGTGTTTTTGAGTTATCTTCATCTGGTTTCAGGTATGTCCTTTGCCTGATCCAAGGGACACTCTTAAAGCCCGCAAGCAGGATGTGTGCGAGGTTGTATTCTCCCATTCATGCTCCAGTGATGGTGTGAGACCTATTGCCTCTGCTCTGGATTAGTATAAAGCCATTGCTACTAATAGTTTTTGATATTCTTATCTGCTATAAGTTTTTCTGATTTTTTTTTTAGAATTAAGTTGGCTATAGCTTCATATTGCAGTAGTAAATTACATTGAAGTATCACTTTTTGTTGTATTTAATCTGCATATTTTGATATAATTTGATCAGAGTTAAATTCTTTTCTTCCAGTATTTTAGGGAAAGGATTATGATTTTACATAAAGAAACACTAGGTGGTTTTAATAGAGGGCAACCCAAAGCAAAGAATTTCTTAGACTGAATAGAATCCTATTTTTGTTGAATTCGTAAAACAGTTGCTATAAAGATTAATAATAATTTGTTGCCTCCTGTATCACATTTCTTTCTTTCTCTTTTCAGAGTGGTAGTTTTACACGTGGAGATGGTGCTGATTCCCTGGTTGTGCAAAGCTGCCGACAGGGAAAGGAATTAAACATTTCAGTGGAAGATGGTGGACCACACACAACTCCTTCCCTGAAAAAAAGCCCTAAAGAAGGCCAGGGGATGGACGGTACTACAATGGCAACGATGGAGGAAGAAGAGGAAGTCATAAAGGACAGGTCACAACTCAGCAGATCTCAGACGCAGCAGCCAAGCACAGGTCCTGCATCCCGAGCTACTCGTGGCAGTAGCACATCAATACCTTTTATTGACTGCAGTGATGTAGATAGCGAGTATGATCTCCTCAGAGGGCAAATGAGTCAGTCACATTCCCAAACAAATGACAATTATGAGGGTGATTCAACCAGTGGGGTCTATGTTGACTATAGAAGTGAAAATCATAATAAAAATAGGTATAGGGAATCCTCTACCTCCCCTGTAAAGGCATCCTACAATGTCATGGAAGACTGCACTGATGGTAGCCCTAGTAATATGTCCTTCTCTGTTGGTGAGAATCTCAGATTCCCACGGCACAGTACGCTGGTTGAAGAAATGTTTAGTGGCCCAGATATCCGTAGTCTGCTAGCCACTCCTTTGCATTCTAGTAGCAAAGGATCAAGTCCCCATATGAGTATTGGTAGTCCAGGTCCTCAAAACTATCTCTCTGAAGAGAATCAGGAATGTAGGGTTAGAAGGAAAAATAATGATGGACATACTATTAGTTGCCATAATTATAGCAGATTTTCCCCAGTTTTGCAAAGACCACATATGCAAATGTTTAAGAATGCTTGTAACAGATCTGAAACAGATCCATTTATTTTGAGCCAAGTATCTTCAACTCCGGGTCAAGAATATACATCAGAAAGGTTTTGTAAAAGGCAAGTGGTTAAAACGGTCCCTTTAGAAGGCAAAAGTATAGCTAATGGTGTGCCAGCAACTGCACAATCAAAACAAAGTCCCATTATGCAGTCCTTATATGCTAGGGGCATGATGGACCATATGTCTACTATACAAATGACAGAAGGTTCTACAAGCAGTGGAACAGAGTCTAGTGACTCAGATTCAGAAATGGTTAATTCTTTCACACACCCTCTTGTGTTTAGTAATCCGGTAGTGCTGAATTCATCTCCAAGGTCTAGAAACAAGTATCCCTTTGGTAGCCTTCAGTTAGGTGAAGAAGCTGAAGATGTATCTTTGGACCTCAGTGATGAAGAGGTTGCTCATGTCTTCAGTTGTTGAGAATCTTGGACAGTCTTTCTAAGAAGAGGCTAAGGACTATTCCAGTCAAGTCACTGTTAGAGTAGCCTTCCACAGCTTGGCATTTACAGATGTATTCTCTGTTTCAATAAGAGGTATATGAACTTTGACTGGGAATTGTTGCCCAAGATATATAGAGGATATCGTGTTGTTATCTGATTATCAACAAAAAAATGTTGATCTTTAAAATATAAAATGACTTTAATGAGATGATAGATGAAGAGTTTGTGATGGTGATGATGGTAGTTTACAGTAAAATCTAATGGTGGCATGTTCTTTATTTGTTTTTGAAAGACAAGATAATTTTGGCAGTAGATTTTTCGTTAAGGAAAAGAACTATATTCTTGGTATAAATGAGGTACTTAATGAAGTGTAGGCAGGATGGACATTGAAAAAGATAACTTGCAGATCAGTACTGTTGGTTCTCATTTAGAAATAATTCCCACTTTTTTCAGTAGAATTTATCCCCAAGTAGATGTGTTTAGGGCCGCAGCCGTTGCTGCTTGTGAAACAACATAATATGATACAAATATGCATTTCTCTCCTACTGAGGGAGAACTTATTATTCAGTGCCTCTATTTAAAGTTTTATACTGCAATCAAAATGAAAGAAATTTGATATTTAAGCAAATACTTTTTACTAAGTTTGATTATGCCTCTTTACAAGAACTAATGCCATGTTTTACCCATCAACATTATGTATCATACATATTGTATTATAAATGACAGGTTTTTATTCTAAACATTTAACATTTCTGTTTGGAAATACCGTACTGAAGAAATAGAAAAGAGGAAAAAACAGGGATTTAAAAAATGAAAGACTGGAGCAACTGTTTGAAAGGCCTCAGTTAAGCAAAATTATGATTTCTAGAAGTTTGTTACAAAATTAGACCCTGTATAGTTGACTCTGCAAAGTTCTCAGCAACAGTTAAGCCAGGATTCAGATGGAGTTGAATGGAAACATGGAAATAATTTTCACACATATGTTCTCAGCTGAGTGAGGAACCATATGAACCATATGTGTATAGCTTCTGTACACACGCTTCATATCATTATCCAACCCTTTCAGAAGAAAAGCAATAGAGTCAATCAGCTGGTTGCAATTCTTCACCATCCTAGATCTAGTCAGCATAATGGTGTAGTTTGTGAAATGGCTCTGTGTATATTGTCATGGCCAGTCTGCATGCTTGCATGTTTGTCAAGGCATAAAATATTATTATTCCAGATCTCATTTAATGATTTAACAAATGTAGGATGTGGGAGCATAAACATTCAGAAGGTGTTCATTAAATGAACAGCATTTTAAATGGAACCCTGCATTTAGAGGAGCTTCCTTGATGTAAAGATTTATACCTGGAATGAGTATGTTATTATCTGCCCAATAACCTTACCGCTGTTATGAAATGCGTTTTAGTCGGGTAATACTGAAGGAAGGGCATCATAAATAAAAAATGGAATTGACAGATTTTTGCTGCATGTAGTTGATTCTAAATATTTTCAGAACTTTTTTTAAAGCTGAGCTTTAATGGCTTTCTGTGTTTATAGAACAGCATCAGGAAATGTTGATAACTACTTCTGATGCATTCAAAAAAGAAATAGTAAGGGTAAATCAGTATAAATATTTGGATTGAACTCAGTCTGTAGATGCCAAGTGTGGTAATGCTTTAACTGTTCTTCGGAGAGGCAACCTTTTTGCACTAAAGCAGCCTTCCCCAACATCTGGTGATCCCCTGTTGAACTACAGTTTATATCCGTTTCAGCCAGCATCAGAAATGTTGACATTCTTTAAGCAAAATTATCTCTGTAGTTATGCAGGCCAACTGGAAACTGAGGTTTTCAGATTTCTGTAAAAATCTCAAAGGATTAGCTTTTAAAAATAATTTTACCACATGCTCTCCAGCTTTGGGAAAGTAGGCATATACATAGGAACATTTAATTTGCTCAGACTTAATGTGTTCTCTTCTTCTACCCTAGTAACTGCTTAGTATTGTTACTTACCTTATGAGCATACAGTTCAGATACTTGTTTAGACAGTAGACAACAAGAAAATATGTAGGCAAATCTACAGTTCTGTGGTTAGAAAATAGCAGATGAAGATTTTAAGTCACATTGTCAAAAGGTGATCAGATTTGGGCCTTAGAATAGTTTGTCAAATTATTGCCTTTAATTTTTTAAATGTTTGCTTTTAAAATATATCTAAACAAATTTCACTGAAGAAGTGTAGATCGAGTGTCTTGTATAGCAAACATTGGTAGATTAGGGATTCATATTAGCACTAGTTGCTTCAATGATTTCTCCAAGCATTTTCAAGTGTGTAATTTCCTTTTTAGAAAAAAAAATTCCCACGGCTTATGTTACATTAATTAGAACTGGCAATTGAGCTGTGAAATATATATCTAATAGTTAATTTTATCTGACTGGAGAATGTACCAAACATTGTAAGAAAGGTTAAGAAATATATGGGATTTTACACATAATTCAGTGTTCAGGCTGACTTGATTGTATAAATGCCAGACATGCATATTAACCATGTGATAGGCATTTCGTATTCAGTTTGTAAAACAGAGTCTTGTGATATAAGCTTAAATAGTTCCCTATCTCTGATTGAAATAAATACACCTGCTTCATTGTTTCAGATAAATATTCACAGTAATAATAATAATAATTCACCTATATTCTCTAGTCAGATGTTCTTAATTCCAACAAATACTGGTTTGTGTGCTGGGTGTGTGTGCATGTGTGTGCCTTCCCACACTACGTTAACATCAATTTATTATTTTTCATCATATTTTTTTTAACTTGGGTCTCTGACATAGCTGCTAGTCTCTAGCTAAGCAAGTTGGAGGCTAGAAAATATATGAAAAGAAGGCTGGCATTTTGCAATGAATGAATGATGCCATAAATATGCAGGACTTCATTGGCATAATACTTGTAGAGCTGATATATACAACAGACATGACTGTAAAAGAGAGACAGTGGTCTTATCAGATCTAAGTTCCTTTAAATCACATCAAACGTTACTGCTAGCGTAAAATTATGAACTGTATCAAGAGACACTCATTTCTTGATTTCTGATTGTGACTCAAAAATATAAAAAATCTAATTTTTATATTTTTGAGTCACAATTAGAATTGTCTTGTCTACATTTGTCAAGTTTCTGTGATGGATTAAGATATTATTGAAATTCCATAATAAAGTGATAACAATATATTTTAACAGTAGGGAAAAGATGAAACAAATTGTTCACGTTGACCACTCATGGAAACAGCAGTTTTATCCTCATTCTTCCTGATTTTTTTTTTTTTTTTGTGAAAATTATTGATGTATATATATTCCAGAGAAAAATGCATTTCTGTATTCCTCCAGAATACATCATCTCCTTTTCCTGCTTCTATGGAATATATGAGATTACTCCCAATTAAAAATGATTTTTCAAGAATATCATTTCCAGTCTCTTGACATGCTTGGTGGTCCATGAATAAACTGTTGCCTGCATGTTTATTTCCTAATCAGAGAGAATCTTTTCATGGCTGCCCTTCCTTTTTTTTCAACTTAAAATGGTATACATGTTTAATCCATGTAGTAATAAGAATTAAGGTACTATATTATTCATTTATTTAGAGGGCTTGTCCTTCACATGTACCACAAATTTTAATTGTTCCTACTCAAACATCAACCATTATTAAATGGAATAATGGGTAAAATGAAAACATTTTTAAAATTTAGGGCTATTCCCAATAAAATCAACATATTCAAGTCTTTCTGGTTTGGGCAAAAAGAGTTTATACATCTACCGCAGTGAGATAACTTACTGTTTATTTATTTATTTATTTGCCAGTGTTCTTCCCAAAGCAACTCTCTGGTACTGTTCTTCCCCAATTCTGCCCTCCCCAATAGAACGTTATCAGTTAAAGCAAATTTATCATGTCACTTTTCAAAATAGGAACCACAAAACTCATCTGTT